TCTTTTTTTTTCCTCATTCCTATTGTAAGATGAAAACTAAGGTATAGAGCAAAGGTACAATAAACCAATGTAGAAAGTAACATTGTGTATGTATGTGTACATATCTGTAGAATGCCAGATGGGTGGAAGGGAACAATGTGATCCATTTACGATTAGATGAGAAGGAGTTGGCATGGAATATATCTCCTGTAATGCTTGGCCTGACCAAGGCTAGCAACATTTAACAATTTATTTGCAAAGACAGAAAAACAGACCAAGGCACAGGGTTTGAATATTGTCTTAATTGCTGTTTCTGCAAAGGCACAGTTTGTTGTCAAGGGAAGAGATGCGATCATAAAAATAACTTTTTCTGCATAGAAAATTCAGTTTCCTCAGGATTTATTCAAAATCAACTCATATATTGATTTCCTAGAAGTAATTGTTTTTATTTATAATGCTAATGGCTTTAGTTATGCTTGCTAAACTGGAGTCCTCAGTGGAAGCGTGTAATTTTTTCTTACTGTGTCTATCATGTCTTGTGTAGGTCTTCATTTTCAAAGCTACTTCCTGTCTAGCTAAACTGAATTTAATGATGGATGAGTAGTGATTTGCTGTGTCTGCTGACTCAGCCATTAGTTCAGTTTTTATTCTTTGATTGTCTGGTTTGGGGATTCAATGCAGTCCACATGTTGCTGTTCCCCTCGGGCATAAATAAATGTTCCTTGGGTTGCAGCTTAAAAAAATAAAAAAAGCCAAGTCATCTTTCATACACTACTTGAGCTGTACACAAATATGGTGATGTGTGTTTATCTCTAACTAAATATCTTTTAAAAACTACCTTGCACTTACTTAATAGGGAGCAACACAAAATTCAACCAGTGCCCCTGGGACTTCACCGCAGAATCAGCAGGTAATGCTTGTTTTTGTGACCAAATCTTGTAGAGATTCTGAAGCTTAACATCTAATGGAGTTTGTAACCAATAAATTTGAATAGTATGCTGTAGTAAAACAATGTGTTTTCAGTGGGTTTCAGTTGCCCCAAAGATAACACTAGTTCAGTTCTGCTGTAGATGAACAAGGTGTTTATCATGGCCTCCAGCTACTTCACAGAGAAGATGTGGAAGGCTTTTTCCAAGCTGATGTCCTCACACAGATATCTTGGATGGCCTGTGAAATCTGAAGTGGCACTACAGCTTGTCCTGACTGTGGCAGTGCTGAGATCTAGTATGGTGGAGTACTGCAGTATCAGCTATTAAGCAGAAAAGCAAAAACCACCAAGATCTATGCCTGCACATTGCATGAAGGTATTCTAAAGCCCAGCTTCTGTGTTACAGCCAGAACGAGGGATTTGTGAGTCTTCATTCAAATAATAATGCGGACAGATTAGAGGGGCAGGCAGCTGTGGATAGTTCACTGAATTCTGCTCTTCTCTTGTTGCAGGTGCCTGATAACCCACCAAACTATATTCTTTTCCTTAATAACCTGCCTGAGGAAACAAATGAGATGATGCTGTCCATGTTATTCAATCAGTAAGTTTTGAATGGAGAAAATTTTCCTTTGATTCCTTTCGTTACCTTTATGGTTTTGTTTTTTTACTTTCAGTTGGCTAGCTGATTATTAGAAAAGAGAGTTTTTGAAGGTATTTCAGTGCTCTGTGTTACTGCCAACTTTACAGATGATTGGGTGCAGAATGCAAATCTGACTTCTATTTTTTTTAAACCGATTTTGATTGTAGAAGTTATCAGTTATCAATCTGCGGTGCATTAAGCTGGTGACTAATGTTAAAGACATCAGAAACAGTTTTAAAAACAGCTTTAATTGCTTCTGCAGATGTGCAAGGCTGATTAAATTACTTCAGCAGAATGATCCTTAAGAGAGGCAAAGTTCTAAGGCCTGGAAATAGAAAAATTCTTCAATCGAATCTCTTGTTAGTAGTAACTATTATTCTAGGAGATGCTTATGGGAGGGTCTTCTGGGTGCTGAAGGGGGTAAATTATCAATCTAGAAAGCACTATCTGACTCTCCTTAAATTTATTTCAAAGGTTTCCTGGATTCAAAGAAGTACGTTTAGTGCCTGGGCGTCATGACATTGCATTTGTGGAGTTTGAAAATGAATGTCAAGCAGGAGCTGCTCGAGATGCTCTCCAAGGATTCAAGATAACTCCATCTCATGCCATGAAAATCACTTATGCTAAGAAATAATCAGACACTCTTTGGAATTCTTTGTATTGATTTTTTTTTTTTTCCCTTTTTTAATATGCGTACAGCATGTTTCTGTTCTGTGCAGGAAAGATAAGACTGTTGTGTGAAATGGCTGCAGCTCTCAGCACAGTTGCAAGACTTCTGTGGATCTACTGAATAGTAACTTTTTGTGCTAGAATACTAATTTTTATAAAATAAATTCAGCTTATGCTGTTCTCAAACTGTGTTTTTTATTGAATCTGTCTTTTTAATCTCTGAAGCTTGTGTGGCAGATGAGAATTGCTAGGTCATGGCCTGAACCAGTGATTGAGCACCAGATGAGATGGCATGGCTAACCCACAGAGGTCAGGTGCAAGCAATGCACTTTGCTTGGGTCCTCCCTCCTCATCCTCATTTAAAGTTTAGCAGCTGAGGGAGCAGCATCTCTTTAGAGATCTTGCTCTCCTCGAGGTGTCATTGGTCTTTGCACAGGGTGAGCTGACTTCTTCTGTACTGCTTTCTAAACTAAATCTTAATGAGTACCTTTATAAGCTTGCTCTTGTCCTAGTAGAAGGCATTATATCATCTTCCACTGCTGCACGGGGGGCTAATTCGTAATATTGGTTTAACTACTTTTAAGGTGACTTTCATTTCTCAGAAGTGAGAGCTGGAAAATTACATGTGTCTTCAGAGCGAAAAGCGTGAGTGGGAATGTTTTATGTCAGCGTGTTCAGAATAAATGCAACACTCAGTCTTCAGCCTCACTATCAAGAGGACAGCTGCTTCTGACAGCTGCTTTTCACTTCTTCAGAATAGTTTTGTCACTTAAGGAAAATAGACCATTGATTTTTTATTTTATTTATTTTTTTTTAGTTTTTGCAGGCTATGGTAGAAATTGGTTAAAATTTGAGAGTTCTGTTCAACATTTTGGTTTTGTTGTACTGTGATGGCTGGTGGTAGGAGTCATTGTACAGAAAGCACAGACAAACTTACGGTTTTGTTTTGGTTGGTTTTGATTTTCCAGTTGTCTGATCTCTAGCAGTGATTTTAATAAATAGTTTAGGAAGAGCTTTCTGGCTCATTCCAAAGACATTGCTGATAAGCTTGACAGACTATTTTTAGGCAGGCTTTACAAAATGCATGTCCTAGTATTTCTGTGGTTTTGGGTTTTTTTTTCCCCCTTCTTTGTTTAAACCATTTAAGGGTTTTGTTGGACACAAAATACATTAAATGTAGTGAAGTAATCCAATTTAGTATTGGGAAAAATCACTTCAAAAGCTGAAATGTTTTGTTCGGATGTTGTAAGATGGAAGAAGATCTAGAAAGATATTTTTAGATATTTAGAGAATAATCACACCTAAACTCTATTTTTGGTGAAACTCGCTGGATTTTCCATGGTGTTGTAGGAGAATTGCAATCAGGCTCTGGAAAATTTGTATTTTAGAAATGATATTGTGGTGTTTGTGCTTCTCACGTTGCACCATTCCTCAGTTCTTCATTGCTGTGTCTGAGTCCTCCAACGACCATTTCAAGGAGGAAGTAAGTATGACTTCTTTCAGATGTAGTTCAGACAAACAGCTGGTCATAAGACTGGGTACTACAAGGAGGAATGTTCAGATGAGCACAGCAGCTGCCTTGTGAGTGTTGAGGCTTCTTTGTTTCCAAAGTAAATCAATTGGAAAATGGGGAAGTAGATTGAAGTCTGTAGCTTTTCCTCTATTGCTGCAGCTTGGTGTATTCCCTGCCTGTGCTGTGTGAGCTTGTAGCTGCAGAGCATGTGTTTTTCCCAGTTGTGCTGTGAGGTGATTGAGGTCTGATTTAAGATTGTTATTTTGGCCAAATGCTTTGCATCCAGGAAAGCTCGATTGATTTTCATCAAATACTGTGCAGAAAAAGCAGTTTTATGGAGCAGTTTCGGATGCAAACAAATTCATCTTCTACACTCACGTTACATTGCAAGATGATGCCCTTCCACAGCTGTGTTAACTCTGTATTTCTATATATGCATTTTCCATTGTTTTTAGTGAATTCACAAGTTTAGAACACTTGCAAGTGAAAATTTTTGTGCACCTGTAAAGAATAAAAGTGAGTGTATTTTGTCATGAGCTTTATCTTACGCAGTTAGCACTGATTAACAACTGTTTGGGGAGCTGCAGCATTGCTCTTGGTCATTTTTAAGGACTGGTTTTAAGATGAGCTTCTTTGAAGCAACTGAAGACAACTGTGTTGTGAACAGCTTACAGTGTGTATAACTGCTTAGTTTTTTCCTTTTGGGCACGTGCATCTATTTTAATTAATATTGTACTTTTCCTCATATGCTATGAAAATATACTGGGAGGTTAGATGAATGCTACGTGTCCTCTCAGACATAACAAGTACCTCTTAAGCCAGCTTATGGTACCATTCAGTGTCACGTCTGTGAACTCTCAGCTGAGTTTGGCTACGTGAATAAATGAGAGCTGGCCGCTGTCTTTGCTTAACCTGTGTATTCTGCTCTGTTTCTGTGTTTGCCTATGTAAAAGAAATCTTACCTCTACAAGTAGCAGCGCTTCAATTCTAGATTTCAAACTTAAATTGCTGAGTTGAAAGGTTTTTTTTTTTACTGAGTTATATTTGCATCCATGTTTACTGTTGTGGTAGGGCATTGCTACAGACTGTCATGAGGAGGTTGCTGCCGTGGAGAGTTTATGGTCCAGGGGGACGATTATGTATGTTAGTGTGTGATTGTGAGAATAAGGGACTTGAGGATTTGAAATGATATCATCTTCTTCCCTGTTTGTTGGGGTCTGCCTTAATTTTTCATTCTGAAACAAATTTTACTTGAGGTAAGCTTGAGACCGTGTATGAGTAGAGGAAAGCTTAAGGTTCTTAAGTAACACAGTTGCTCCAGAACAGGTTTGGGGAAGGATTCTGTTGCATAAGTGCAACCTGAGGTTCCCTCTTGCCGGCAGCTCCTTTTGTTGCAGTGGAATGTCACCCTGATCCCTTCCCATTGGCCAGGGGTGTTTGTCCAGATGTTAGGCTGTTCCATAAAAGATAGAGATCCCTGGGCACGGTGCGCATTTGGGAAGTGCTGCAGCAAAGAAAAATGACACAAAGTGTTTATTTGATCATCTTATTTTTGTGTCTTGGATTAATGAATCCATTTGCAACTGGAATTTTTATGGACAAGCTTGCCAGCAAGAAGCTGTGTGCTGATGACGACTGTCTCTGTGAGTAATTTTGTTTTAATTTTAATTAGAATACATTCCCCAAAACAGTTGTGGGGCTTGGAAGCCGTAGTGTGACAGAAAACGACTCTGCTTATTTAGCTCATCTTTAAACTGGTCTGTCAACTTAAAATAGAGTGGGAAGATGAATGTGGAGCATCAAATCCCGTTTTACTGCAGAAAGACTTTTCTAAGGGACCCTTCTCATGAGTGAAAGGTAAGAGTAGAGAAGAGACAGAAGGACTGTAACTTACGTTAGGATTAAATGATGCATTCTGAAGCTGTTATTCTGCTTACTGGAGATGGAAAAACGAGCAGGGCAAATTATTGGCAGACATTAATTTCAGAATAACCTACTTTTGCCTGTAGAAATGGTTTTACACGTGTGCATCCACGCACTTCCATATTTTTCTTTATAAAAGCATGTCTTTAAATTCATCCTTCTCATTCTTGATTTTTATTTCTTTTTCCTAGACACCATTTCCCTTGTCAGAGCAGAAGAGGATTATAAAGCTCCAGACTGCAGATTCATTAATATTAAAAAAGGGCAGTTGATTTATGTTTACTCAAAACTAGTGAAAGAAAAAGAATCTGGAGAATTCTGGGCTGGAAGTGTAAGATGAGATTCCTGTGTATATGAGCAAACCAGAAGTAGAGTAGCATTTATTTCTTGACAAAAATGTGTTGATGTTGAGCTACTGTGGGTTTTAAAGCAGCAACTTGGTTTTCAGTTTGGTGTTTAAACAGACTGAGGAGTCTAAAGGGCCTTTCTTTTCTTCTGGTTTTTGTAGTGAAGTTAAAGTTTCTTCATTAACTATTCAGTAATTACGAATTTAACCCAAGGAAAAGGGCTCAGCAATTCTTTTCTGCGACTGCTTGCTGAAACTGCAGGAGAAAAGCTTTCATTACAGTTGCTCATAAAACTTATATATAAAGGAAGCAAACACTAACATTAGCTGAATTCATTAAAAAAAAATAATAATAAAAAAACCACAACAACAAAACTGTGCTGTTGTTTTATTCTAGAAAAGAAATACCTATCTGTATTAGAACTTGTGTTAATAGTTCATTTAATGTGCTGGTTAATTGGGGAACTAGGAGATCCAGAATCAGAGTTATGAGCACTGTTAAGTAGCTGCTTTTGGCTAAATTATGAATTAGCTTAAAGCAAACGAGGGCCGTTCTAATGCACCTAATTATACATCTCCTTGCTTGAAGGTTTATGGAGAAGAGTATGAAGACCATATGGGGACAGTTGGCTACTTCCCTCGCAGTTTAGTCTCAGAACAACATGTCTATCAAGAAGCAAATAAGACCGTTCCTACAACGGTAAGGAATTTACAGAACCCCAGCTGTATATAATTATCTTGGCTGTGTAATGCTAATTTCCTGTAAAAACAAATCATAATTGTGGCTCTTGATTGTAGCGTATCACAGATGCTTAGGGATGCTATCTCTGATGCAGGCAAACGTTCTCAATAAAATCCTAACATAAGCTCTGATATCGTAGATTTCACAAATGCTGAGTGGAGGCCTTGATCCTATTATTGTTCCTATTGATTGGAATAGCGTTGCTTGGAGGCCCCTGAAAGTCTGACCCAAACTTCTTGCAATGTGTTGCAAATGGTTTTCTTTTTTTGGAGACTGAACATTGTGCTGCATATTTCAGTAAGGTGTACAAACCCCTTCTATTAATGGTCTAAATAGACTGACATTGTCATAGAGTACCTCTGTTTTACACTCCTGAACATCCTTCTCATGCTTCAGTGAAAGCAGGTCCCTGGAAATTGAATGTGAAAACTCACTTTTCCACTGTTCCTCTAGAACACAGAGTCTGAAATATGCTTCGCAGAGAAGTGGAAGAGGGTGGTATGGCTTGGCTGTTACTGGTAGCTTATATTTATGCCTAAAACACATTGCTCATAGCCTGGAAATTGTACATGGACACTTCATCCTAGCTCTTGATTATTAGGTAGGTTTCATTAAAACGAGAAATAATTGAAATGAAGTGTAATAGTTGCTAGGATTTGTGTTTTAATGTCAGACAAATTTTATGTGAAGAAATGCAAATCTTGAAACAAGCGATTGCTGTTCTTGACACTTTGTTAGGTTATTCTGAATTTGGCCAGGAGCACTGTAGCAGTTAGTCATTCTTTCATGTTCCGTGACTAAAATACGTTTCTAGGCTCTTTTCTCAACAACGTGACAGCCATTCTGTTGAATGGCAAGCTGAGCTGGAAGCAGAGGTAGGTTAAAGTCATGTCTTAGTCTGCAGGCTGGCTGTGGGTCCAGAATGGGCCATTGCTTTTGCCAGGCTACCCTGCAGAACTTTAATTGGCATGTAGAAATTCTGCAGCAAACCTTTTTGCAAAAGTAATCACCAGGGATTAGTTGTTCCACCTTTAGTTCACGTTCTTGCTTCGCAGCAAAACCTGATGGTAGTACAGATGGATTCTTGTTCCTCTGTTCTCTTTTGTGTTGCAAATGTGGGCTTGAAGGATATGACTTCAAGTTTGCATTTGAAAGTGTTTACAGCAGGTCTTAATGGATCTCTACCTGACCATACTGATTCATCCAGAAGTATCCTTTAAAGGGTACTGCTTTACACAGAGCGATTGTTGCACAGCTCTTGTGCGCTTGTAATGCTACCAGCCTTCCATTTGCAACGCTGTAGCTGGTCTTATGTTTGCACTTCTGCTACCTTCACTTCAGCTGCTGGTGATGCTTGTACCTTGCTTTCCTGGCCTCAAACCTGTTAAGTCTGTTGCTGTTGTTGCCACTGGTGTGAGAACCACCTTCTCCAACTGCCCTCTTCTCTAACCTTTCGTTTATTATTTCATTTATACTGTGGGAACTGGTGATGCCCAAAGCTTAATGATCAAGCAGCCTGCAGTTCCTGTCCACTGAAAGCACTGAGTTGGCAATTTGAGAGGTATCTTGATGGGGGGGACCTGCTGCACTAAAGAGGAGCACAAAAGAGGACATTAGTACAGGGGGTCTCTGTCTCCTTCATTTTTCCCCATAGTAACTGTCAGAACTGCAGTCAGTGTATGTCATCAGCAGCAGACCCTCTTAATAAATTCTAGTGCTTGTGAACTAATCTCAACATCCTTTTTGCAACACCAGGCAATCCATACCTTTTTGCTGCTGTTCCAAGTGATAAATCTTATACAATATTTTCTTCCCAGTGCTGCTACTTTTGAGTCCACTGAATACAGTAGACTCCTTAAAATAGACTGTGTACTACTGAGATGTTGGATTGCTTGCCATCCTTCAGTGATTTTAAATTGGTCATTTGCTGGCTAAAATGAGTGTACTTTTAATGCCAGTAAGCCTTTGCTCTGAACCGCTTTCCAGTGGACAGCTACGTGTGATAGGCTGGTCTAATGTAAATGTTGCTGAGTTTGAGCATACAAGTTGTTAATTCCTTGCAGTATAATCAAGATGAGAGCTATGTAAAATACTAGCAGAAAGCTAGATGAAAGCATATGCTATGAAAATGTATTCCTTGTTGGAAGTTTTCAAGCAAAATGCAACCATTTTTTTTTTCTAGTCAGGTTTCTCTGTAGCAAGTGAATCACAGCCTCAGTCAAATTAAGGCATCCTTTTCATGTCTGGTTAGGAATAGTTAAAGGATAAGGGGTTACATACAACTCAAATCCAAGTGTGGATGTAGGAAAACTGAACAGAAAGATAAAGGAATTGTTTGAAGAAAGAAAGAACATGGCATCACCCAATCCACTTTAAAGATTTCTGTCAGGAACAAATCATCCCAACCACATAAAAGGAGTTGAAAGCAATAAAAGCTTTCTTCTCCAGAATTCTGTGGAGTTAATTTATAGAGAACATACTTTGAATACATTAGCGTATTCAGTGTTTGCATCTACTTATCTACCTTTGGGGGATGATAAAGGAATGCTAATCCTTCAGTAATCTCAAAACATCTTTCCTTTCAACTCTCTTTCAGGACATTGATTTCTTCTGTGAGTAGTGCTGAAGATGGCTGGGTAATCTCCAGGGTGCTATCAAGAAATGCTGACAAAGAAACTTGGAACCCTCCACCGAACACCAGCTTTTTTTTTTTTTTTTTAAATACCTAATTGTAAAATAAGTCATCTTTCAAGTGCAGAAGTTGATTTAAAGGCAGTAATTTGGGGTGGGGAAAGTAGTCTTATATGGGATTTATTCGTTAGAAATTATTTACCTGCATATACCTGTGAATGCCTTTATAAGCCTTTGCATTACTTTGAGTAGTGCAGATTACATGTAGAATTAAATGTGCCATCTTGATCTACGTTTTCCTTCCATAACCTTATCTAAATATTAAATAAACATTGAAAAAGCCCTTTCTTTGTTGAGCACTATGTGACTTGCTGATTGAAATCATTTTTCTTGCAAGAATTATGCTGCAATGGAGAAACTGGCAGAAAGAAAACCAGGAGCATTATTCTGTGCAAGGCGCAATCCCTGCCCTCAATGCCGATAGTTATGGGATGTGCTCGAGCTGAAGCATCTCTGTGCTGCCACAAGAGGGAGTACACCGAATACCTCATGTTGTTGGTCGCATTTCTGCAAATATTGGGCTTATTTTCAGTAGAACAGGCTGCCCAAGGAGGCTGTGGATGCCCCATCCCTGCGGGCATTCAAGGCCAGGCTGGATGTGGCTCTGGGCAGCCTGGTGTGCAGGCTGGTGACCCTGCACAGAGCAAGGGGTTGAAGTGGATGAGCTCTGTGATCGTTTTCAACCCAGGCCGTTCTGTGATTTTATTTTCTAGGTGGGGAAGCGCTGTGTGAAAGGTCAGCGTGCTGCCCTCTGAAGCTACCCTGTGCTGGCAATATGGGGGGAGATGATGAGCAAGGAGGAAAAAGACGCTCTGGTCACGTTTCCAGTTAGGTGTATCAATTCTACCATTTTGGAACAGGCTGCCCGGGGAGGTGGTGCAACCCCTGTCCCTGGAGGTGCTCAGATGTGGAGATATGGCGCTGCAGGACGTGGGTAGCGGGCAGATCGTAAGAACGCGCCTCGCCTCAGGTGCAATTCGTAAGTGTGGCTCGGAGCGCCCTCTGCCGGTCGGACAGAGCCGCACCTCAGCGCCGCCTCTGGCACGAGGGAACCTTCCAGAAGGTCGCGGGGCGGGCGGGTTGTGTCGCACACCGCTGTTAAACGGCATTTTTGCTGCGTATATCGAATTTTTGAGTTCTACTTAAAGCAGATTTCCAACACAAGTGTTGGAAATGCATCCCGCCCGTGGGCATGGTTGAAGTTACAGGTGTATGAAGATGCACGCAGCAGTCAGTGTTTGCAAACAGCAGACAAAGCGGGTTCAATTGCACTGTGGATATCAGGAATGCAAGTGGTGAGTTCTAGCAATTGTTATTGGAAAATGCAAGCTTTTCCTGCAAGGCTTCATCTCAGTTGCTTGCAGTTAACTAACGTACCCAGTTCTATGTAAACGGGTATGAAGATTTAAGTTTCTCCACAAAAATGCCACAGAAAAGTCCAGGACAGAGTGGACTTCTGTGGTGTAAGATGAGACTGGTGCTTATAAACCTTGACACTGTGCATAATCCTTAATGTGTGTCCCTGCAAACAAAGCTTGCACACGTGGCTGCTTTCAGCTCCCATTTGCTCTTCAGCCACCTGAGGTGAACTACAGATGCTTTAGGACAGGTGCAATAGGTGGGACACAGAATGCTTCCAGTTCAGGATGCATGCAGCAGGGACTATGCACACACACACGTCTGTACCATTTCAGAACATGCACGAAGGACAACATTTGGCCTATCAGTGAAAAACATCCTGCTATGACTTCTTCAGCAGTTACACTGAGCCTGGGGCCGTCGTGGCAGCATGTGGACAGCATGTATTTCTTTTTGCTTTTTTCTAGCTTTCTTCAGAGTCTGCGCTCTGGTTGGTCACCTCCTCTGCGCAGAAAATAACTCAGCGGGCTTTCAAGGGGCATCAGAGTCTGCTTGACAACCTAATTTCAAAGAAAGTAAGATAAGGGTTCAGTTTGTGAACCACTGCGTGGTCTTCGTAAAGCACCTGGCTGTGGAAAAGCATTGTACTGGTGAAGCTACTTGTCTGCTGAGTTCAGTCTCTGATGTACAACTGTCAGGTGGCTTCCAGTTTAATGAAGCTTTACAGCTCTCTCTGTCTGCCTGGTGTCATAGGTACTTATTTTATATGGTGACATTGTGTATAACTGTCATCTCACAAGCACTGGTGGCCTATGCTGCAGCCTGAACTCTGGTATGACAGGCTTGATCAGTTTATAGCTTCATCATGTAACGTATTGGCAGGATCCTCTTTTAAGTTGTCCGAAGGAGACTTGTGACTTCGTTCAGTAGTCACCAGGGATGTGATATAACAAATGCAGCCATTCCTGATCTTTAGGCTGCTCTCTCAGAGGGCAATCCCTTCACAGTGTGAATGCTGAGCAGAGAAAAGAAAGCATGCTGGATGTGCTCGCTTCGCAAGAGATGGTGTCTCTGCTCAGAAGGGCAGAGGTATTGCAGTCTGACACTCTCCCTCTACAAGGGATTTTTTTCCATTTCTGCTCATTCTCTTAATCAGTGCTTGGTTCTATTTTCAGTACGCTGCTTTTCATCATTTTATTGCAAGTGTCGCGAAGTTTGATTAATTTTAAATTCCCATTGTTGAAGCCTGATTATTACTTGAAGGTCTCTCTCCTTTTTAGAGCAAAGTCCAAGTTTCTACCCTTAGAAACGTAAGGAAGTGTGACAACCATAATCTTAACAATTCTAGCACAGAAAGTAAACCAAATGATCCCAGACTTGTCTGAGATCTGGAGCAGGGAGGAAGAAATGGCAAGGGAGCACAAGGCGTCTGTAGAAAACTTTGGAGTGTTTGCAGTTGGCAGCACTGTTAGTGTAGGCCTGACAGCTAAAAATCAATAGTTTTGACACTGAACATGGATCTGCTTTCTGCATTGCACGTTCTTAGGTGAAGCTTGTTTCAGAACAACACAGCTTGCCATTCAGACCCCTTAGTGTTCATGCTGCAGTGTACTTGGCTGAAATAAACAGGAGCTTACAGGAGAAGGAGAGGAGAATCAATATTACGCTAGCAGGCAGTGGAGGATGCGTTTGATTTTCCAGTTTCTTTCTTTTTCCCCTACAATGATGATTGTACTTGCAGTTTCCTCATTGAAATCACAGCAGTTTCACTACTACTGCTTTAGTAATAAGTAAAAAAACATTTGACATGCCAGGTGTGTTATTTGTCTGACGGGACCTTATAGTCTATTTCCCTTCATTGTATCCCACCACAGGGGAAGTAAACTCATAGCTTGTTTTAAGTTTTGTGTTTAAACAATGTTGTTTCCAGCTCTTAAGGTGGCCTCAAACTGCATTCTTAACTTGTAATCTCTCGCTATCCATTTGGGTGGAGATTCAGAAGCCTTGAAACTAAACTGTAGTATATATTTTTTTTTCAGCAAAGTTGGTTTTGGAGAAGTGTGACACCATACGTAACTATCTGAAATAAAAACCTTGTAATTAGGAAAGCCTGGGGATTTGGGCTGGGGATTTGATGCTGCTGCACAGTGAGAGTGGTGCTGTTCCGTGAGCTCGGGCTGACATCTAGCGGTGCTGCTGCCTGGTTATCTTGTTGGCTCTCAATGAGATGCAGAACATGCTCAAATTAAATGGCTGCAGACAAGGTTTCTGATGTGGCTTGTTGGTAATAGTAAGGGTGACTCAGTATATGAAGGATTGAAACCTTATTTGTGATGGCACTAACATTTTACACTGGAGATTTTCTAATTATATACGCTGCTGTAAGCATCTTATTATCTATTCTGCTAACGATTAGCTCGCCTCAGGGTTTGTGACAGATGCTAAGTTCATTAAGGGCTTTCCCACAATGTGTTTTCTTTTTTCCCCACAGAAAGTGTGTTCTTGCAACCACAACTTCATCATGTCACTGCACTGTGATGACCCTAGTGCTGTGTGTTCCTGAAGTACAGCTGGCCCTATGGCAGAGGCAGTGTGTGAGATGCCCGTGCCCACAGTGTGGTGATGTTACCCTCAAGTCCCTTTCTGCACGTGGACTACAGCATGAGCAAAGGAAGGCAAAACTACATCCCCACCTTGACAGAGAGAAGGCAGAAGACAGAGGCTATGAAGACAGGTTGGAAGAAGAGGCCAGGCTGGCAGGTGAGGCAGATGCAGGACTAAGAGAGGATGAGGAGTGGTGTTTGGTCACTTGAATTATCTGATGACTTGTGCTCTTTGTTACTAGAGCTGGCTGTTGGAAGAAAATGTCTTTCTGATGAAAATTTGACTCATTTGTGATCCTCAGAGGACAGACTTGTTCTGTGGCCAGGCATCGCTGACAATGAAACATATGAGATGTGTTCCTGACATTCAACTTCCAGTTGCATTGAGTCCTTGAAGAACACAGCACATGTGCAAATAGGTTGTTCTGTATTGCACCTAAGTGGTAGTGGAGGAAAGGTATGGCTAGAAAGTAGGCTTCTGCTTCAAAGCAAAAATGCCAGTGTGGATGTACCCTGAGTGTTTCCCAAAGAATGGTAGAGGAATGGTTTAAAAATACTTTACTATTGGAACTGGTGGAAGTAATGATATCCAACTGGTGAAATCATTTCCTGGTGTGCAGTAAGTCAATCTCACAGAGATGAGATACTGTTCTGTTGTGAAGTTGCACAAGTGTGGGTGCTAGGTGGTCTCCCACAAATCTAACACACCCTGGGATATTTGTGACACTTTTTTATACGTATTCTTATCACTTGGCCACTACCCTGATGCAGCCTTTGGCTTACAATTGGTCAGTTAAAGGTAGGGCTAATCTCCCTTCTTGCCAGCTATGCTAGTCACACCACACAAGTTTATTTTAACTCCCAAGATCCTCCTCTAAATGTTCCTCTTCAATTTGTGGTTTGAACTGTAGCCTCTGCCAGGAAACATACCTGCATTTTATATCTCTTTTGCTTATCCTTTTGTTTTGTCGTATTCTTCTTTCTTTTTTCCCCTTTCTTACTTACTCCCTATTGTTATATAACTTACAAGTGATTTCAGTCAGCTGTGAAATAGACATCCCTGAAATCTTGTCAATCTTCTGCAACTTCTTTTGGATATCAGGGGCTGACTGTCCACTGAGCAACATATTAAACGTAGGGTTTTTTTTATCTTCCCCTTCCAAATGAGACAATATTCTAGCTGTCTCAAATAACCTCATATGAAATGCTGATGGTCCTCAGTTGGGTTCTGGTATAATTTGGAGGTATTCTTTGTTTTGGGTACTGC